GTCCAGGTAAGACCCCTCCCGAGGGCATAGGCTGTGGCGCCGGCCCCTGTGGACCGCTCGGCCCCTGACTCTCTGTTTTTGTGCTGCAGATCACGGTGCTGGGGACGCCTGCGGAAGAACAAGGAGGAGGTAAAATAGACCTGATAAACGCTGGAGCGTTTGACGGCCTGGATGTGGTTTTTATGGCACACCCCTCGCAAGAAAACGCAGCTTACCTGCCAGATGTGGCCGAGCACGAGTGAGTGAGTAGGTTCAGGTGGAAGGGATTGGCTTGTTATTTGCCTTTTCTTCCATCCCAGAGTACGGGAGCTGCTTTGGAAGGGGCTGAACTGAGGGCTGGGGGCCTTCTTCGCAGGTGCCCTTCAGACAAAGTATTTGCAGCTGAAGAGCCAGGTCACTGTTCTGGGAACACTGAGCAGTTCTTCCAAAGTGCAGTGTTCAGCCTAGTGTTAAAGATCCCTGACTGCTCTGAGATAATCTTGTATGTCTTCCCAAAATCCATTCTTTCTTCTGATGTTTCCAGGTGTTTCTTTTTATGCATGCATGTGATTATTTTATCTATTAAAAAAAATCATTTAAAAAACTTCCTGTTCTTTAAATTTTAGAACATGCAACTGGAGGGAGTCTCATTAATTGTAGTTCCTTGCTTTCCTGGGCACTAGGTCATGTAGTCCTCCGTATGCATTTTAATCAGTTTTGGAAGTGTTTCAAGTTCTCTCCCACTTTTGAAAGAGACAGCCAGATGAGCTTGACTGTGCTTGGATCCTTATTAACTTCCAGCCTAAACTTAATCATAGCCATTGTATAGCTGTTAACTCTGACATCAGTTTTTTATTCAAAGTAGTTCTTGGCTTTCCTTCATGTTTACCCCCAATATAAGTATAGACAGCAGTCATACCCTCACTCAGCATTTTTTTGTGAGCTAGCCATATAACTCTTCAGAAATTGTGCCTTGTCTTCTTTTGATTAGCCCTACTATTCAGTGTCAGCACTTGTTCATTTGTAGTTGGAATAGCTGGATTTGTTTTGAAGTACTCCTTGTTGGATATGCGTAACCAGAATTGTACACAGTACATGAGGTAGGATTGCCTTAGACCTCAGCTGATGCTGGGACCATAGTGTCTATTTATCATGTTGGAGACAACTGGCATGTTTGGGGCTTCCTCGTTAGTCATTTTCAAGCAATCAACTCTTAAACAAATGCTTAGTCTGTAAGTTCATGATTTTTGAAAATATTTTTGAATTTAATTCTATTTGTGGTCTGCCAGTCTGCAGAGCCATGTTCTTCCTCTTCTGTTTTCATAGTGTCTCAGCCATAGTCTGTCAGCAGATTTTGTTTTTACATTTTATGCCATGGTTACTAATGATTCTTGATCCCACGGTCTGGTCTTGTAGAGGCTCCACTAGTAACCTCCCTCCAGTGCAACATTTTTTTCCAACTATTATGTTTGGCTGTCTCTGATTAAATTTTGTAATATTTAAATAACTGGCTTTCCAACCATTTTTGACTTGTACTGACTGCTGTTTTCATCTTGGTTGTGCTACCTTCCAGCACCAATGTACTTGATTTTACTGGCCATTTTGCTTTTGCTGGTGCTGTTCCTGTTGGATAACTTGCTTCTGTTACTGCTGAGTTTCATGGTAGAAACCAATGAGGTTGGCAAGGCCTAGTCTTCCTTGCCTAGCTAGTCCTCTGCTATATTCTGTCATTTCTAAAGAGTCTTAACTGGTCATTGTTACAGCCTTCAAGACTTCTCAGCTTGGTTTTTGGTTGCTGTACCTTATGACTATATTTATAATCTCCAAGGTGCAGTTTTCATTGATTTGTCTTTCCGTTCACTTCAACTCTTACAATAGCCTTTTGAGTTTGATACAGTAAGATTTGGAAATCTTCCTTCAGAGGTGATGGTCTGCTGTAGGATACAATTCTCGGTAGCCTTTAAACCTTGACTGCGGGGCAGGTATGGAATTGAAATACTCAGCTTATCTCATGATTTATGTAATTATGAGATTCAAAAGGTGCAAAGACCTTCTCAATGATTTTCAGTTGATCTTTTGGTTGTTTCTAAGGAATTGAAGGACTGGCCATTGCTAATTTGCTATGTTACTGTATCTGCAAACTCTGAAGCTGGCTTGTGCCTGAAGTAAAATTAACATACAGGGGTAACTGATGAATACATGCCAAAATTTGCTGATTCTTACTCACTTATCCTTCACCTAATCAGCCTATTTATTGTTGGTCAAACAGGATCCACATTCTTCTGCTAATATTCTTAAACAGGCTTAGGGTTTTGTTATTCACCAAAATCTGTGCTGTTTTTTTCTGAGAGTATGTGACATTTGTGTAGTGATAGCAGTACGAGAAAGAATGTTTTTTAAGAAGCACGTTTCTCGTGGGAGGAAAAAGATTGCAACATGACTTTCTGCTTTGAGTTGATTTGAGGAGTTGCAGTCTAATACTAGGGATGTTAATGGATAAGGTTTATCTTGATTGCATAATGGCAATAAATTTTAAATAAAACCCACGCTTTGCAGAATGTGATGTGTGGTCGTCTTGAAGGACGAGGGAGAGTAGAAAAGAGCATAGTTGACTTGGATTGCAGGCAGTAGCAGGAGACATTTTCCACTGCAATGGTACACTCCATTGTGTCCCTCTTTGCTATCCAGCGTTGAAGTTCTGGTATTAACTTCATGGCTGTGGCATGGTTCAGAGCTTGAGGGGTCAGTTCAGGATAAGTGACTAAGTTGGCATCTGTGCAAGATGGAAGGACAAGCAAGTTAGACTTTTCCTAGCTGGGTAAGAGACAGCTTGTGTGTCTTGAAGGAACTCTTTGAGCTTGAGGCCAGAGTTTTTTATGTAAAGGACTGGGTATTGAGTGCAAACAGATTTAGTTAAAATCTCTAGTATTGATAAAAACCTGATATTTGTGTATTTGATAATTGTCAGTATTAATATTTGCCTCATGTAAAGAGTTTTCATATAATTTGAAATACTCAATTATTTTGTAAGGCCCTCATAAGATGAAGTCAGGCATGAATTCTTACTGGATGTGTTTAGGGGCAGTATTTTGGCTGCTACAAAGTTGGAGGATAACCTTTGCACTAGACTTCTTCCTTGTTGCCACCCTTTCTACCTGCATTTTGGAGTTGTGCAGGGAAAGAACATCCTTGTTGTAGCATGTACTGTATATTTTATACCATGCTATACCTTTACTGCACTTCTAAAACTTGATTTTTGTTATTTAGACATGGCTTGCATGTGATCTTAGTAATGTGCTTTTGCTTTCTTATATGCTGTATACAAGTTTGACAAAAATTAGGACAATCAGCCTCTAATTTTAAACCAGAGAAAAGGGTTTGTTATTCTCTGTTTGAGAAGAATGTTAGTAACTATGTCTTGGAACAGTCAGGAGGTACAAAAAAGGTGTTTGAGACGTTTAATGTGAAGCCTATACTTCTCAGGAAAAGGCTGTTTAGTAATATGTTACTGGTAGTGTTTTTGCCTGACTGGCTCTTGATATTGTTCCATTTCATTTGTTTTCTAAAAATCTTTCAGCATCTTCCCATGCTCAAAGATAGTTCAACTTTGCAACAGTCTAGTGCTAGGTAAATTGTTTGGTGTTCTGCTGCACAAACCTTAAATATTGGTGTGAACAAAAGGAACTTTTTATTTAGAGGTTTTTTCAGTGAATGAAAAACAAATAAGCAATGCCTTTTATTTCCTAGTGTGACTGTGAAATACTATGGAAAAGCTTCTCATGCTGCTGCTTATCCTTGGGAAGGAGTTAATGCATTAGATGCTGCTGTTCTTGCATACAACAATCTGTCTGTTTTAAGACAGCAAATGAAACCGACCTGGAGAGTTCATGGTGAGATCTTCATTAAATCTAATGTCCAGCAAGTAAGAGTTTAGGCTGTTGAAATGTTAACTTAAAAAATCCCATGATTTTGCATTATTGCACTAAATTAGTATAGTCACCACAAACTATGAAATAGCACCATTTCATTTAAATAGTTTGTCTGTAATCTTTAAAATCATGTCAGTGTCCATCCAGAACTAACTTCTGAAAATAGGCTTATGGATCAGATTCAAAAGAGGACACCGGTACCTAGGTAGAGGCTAGACAAATTTTAAGTCTTTGCACTTTAAGTCTTTGTAGTTCAGAAAGAAAAAAAAAAGTACTAGGTGTATTTTTGGTACATGGCCTTGAATTCATTAATTATATGTGTTTTTGCACAAGTGTAAGATTAAGTGCTTCTGAAAAATGAAGTATTACTACATCACTTTTGTAGTAGACATTTCATTAATTAGATGGCATTTATATTGACATTTATGGAAAAGTATAGTGGTCTAGAGTGACTGAAGTTTATTTGCTGAAGGACAAAAAACAAGTGATGGCAGAAGCATATAGCTCTAGTTAGTAGCCCAATCAACTAGATGTGCACTGGATTCTAATATTTAATATCTAGTAGACCTTGAAGTAGAAAGGTCATTTTGCAGTAAGACATACTAAGCTTGACTCGTACACCTTCAACATGATGCATTTTGTACAGTGAGAAAGTTTCAGGAGTTGAGATGGAAGCTGCCCATTAGCTACAAACCCAGGTTTCCCTTATTACATTCAACACAACTTTTTCCAAGTTGAAATTAAGAAGCTTTGCCATTTCTACAGGACTTAGGAATGTAGAATTGTTTATTTGGAAAACGTAGGAGCTTAAAACTTAAAGAATTTCTGAGCTAATGATCATTATATGTCTTGGATACTTGTGCTGCGTAATATATGTGTGCATTTATCTCCAGGATATCTGGATGTAGTCTGGAAGCCCTAACCCTTTTGACTGTAGATGAAGATGCTTGCAGTTCTGCTGTGCAGCATACCCAAATGAATTTCAGAGAGTGGCCAATGCCTTAGCTCTCTATCCTATTGCTCTGTAGGAAACCAGGCACTTAATTATGAGTTTTGGTATCTGAAACTCATGCGTTGCAGGTTTAAGATTGGAGGTGCCTAAGTCTTCTTTTGGATCTAAGCCTAAAACTCTTAATACTGCTCTCTTCATAGTTTCTAAACCCTAAGTATCTAAACAAGCCTCCTAGAGGTAATACTTCCCGAACCACAGCAAAATGTAAATTACTGTGATACGACTGCTGTCATAAACCTGGTTTTCAAACTGGAAGTATTTAAAATACCTTTGGGAAAGTATAAGCAGCCAGAATGAGATTTAATTTTAGGAATGCTTTCTTAACAACAATGTGTTCGAGGTCTTGTGGCAGGCTTGCAGTAGCAGTCGTGGCTGACTTAAGTGATCCTAAAAATCTTAGTGTTAACCCACTAACAATGGAAATAGTTCCCATTACATGAAGTCAACAATTTCTAAGCAATGTTTTACGTACTTGAACAATGTTGGTTTGAGTTTGTCTAATATTTAATAAGTTTCTTCCCTGCTTGAGTGGAGTAAATGTTGCCCCCTTGGAGAATAGGAATGTAGATTTTTTTTTCTGTTGAAGAAACTGTATTAAGCAGGGTGTAAAAAAAAAAAGTTCCATCTAGAAGCAAGGCAACCTAGGTGCTATTATAGTGTGCAGGCAGGCTACTTTTAAGGTAGATCTCCTGTCCAAAGCAACTATAATATGGACTGAAATTTAAGTGTAGACATACTCCTGGATTCTATCCAGTTCCACTTACAAATGTGTTGGAAGACAAATGAAAGCTCATTAAGCTACTTGTTTTGAGCAAACATGTTATGATGTGTCATGCAAATTTGCATGATTGCTTACTTGCTGATTTGCTGGTTCCTTTTCTGTGATGTCTGTCCCTCTCATCTGAGCTGTTCCTTTTGTTATGGACTAGTACTGGTAGTGGTTTAATTCAGCAGTCTGTTTACTTTGACTGTATTTGAGACTGGAAAGGTTTTACTTGAGGGAGGAGTTCATAGTCTTAATAGGTTTTCTGCACCAAAACTAAAGATCTATTGACTATTTGCATCCTATGGTGCTGTCTTTTCAGGCTCCAGTGACCACACATCAGTAACTTTGTGCAGTATTTCCATTTAAGGTAGTTTCTCAGGTTCTAAAGAAAACAAATCTTACTTCACATATATAAATTGAGGATAGGAGGCCAGGAAAAACAAGCAGCCTGTTGAAAGCAAAGAGCTGTTAATGCGTTGAAATCTAATGTAGAATTGAGGTCTACAATGGGTTTTTGTTAAAATGTCTAAATGTTATGGTCTTTTATGGTAATGCTTCTGATGCTATAGTTGAAAACTATGTAGTCGTCACACATTTCCTTGAGGTAACACTTAAAACTCAAGCTTCACTCTTGGATAAAACTGTACATATATTATACACCCCAGTATTTCTAAAGAATTAGTATGAGGAATCTAATGAACTTCCTGTGCACTGCAGCACATGTGTTACTCCAGCATTGCTGAGAAATGCAACTTACTCAATTTCTCTTCAAGCTGGCAAAATAAGTTGGAAACATTTTAGTTGAGGAAACCTTCTAAAAGTTGGAATCCAAGGTAGCCTTGATAACAAAATTTTTTCTTTCAATGGCAGCCAGATTGCTTTACAACTTTGCACTGAATTTCAGGGGATTAATTACAAATGCTAGTTTGGCTTGTCTTTACATTTATACCAGATAACCAAAGAATGCAGTGAAATTGTGCTGAAAAACATGTACATATTCCACTTAATCTGATGTGATGAAGAAACTTTGTCCACATGCTGTATTTTTTGACATTCTTTATCTATTTCATGCTCAGTTGATGTTTTGTTGTTTTTTTCTTTATATATTTAGCTCTTGAGCAAGAAGTTTCATGACAAGGCTGAAGATCAAGCATTTGTATTTAACACTGGTAATATGACTTTTCCCTTTCTGCAGGTGTAATAAAAAATGGTGGTGTGAAACCTAACATCATTCCTTCTTACACTGAATTAGAGTTTTACTTGCGTGCCCCTTCAATGAAAGATCTTTCTGTTCTGACAGAGAAGGTTGAGAACTGCTTCAAATCTGCAGCACTGGCCACAGGATGCAAAGTAAGAATATATTCATGGTCATGTGTTTCTATTACTCTGGGGAAACAGAACAGGAAATCAAGGCTTACAGGGTTTTTCTGCATGATGTTTAGCTGAAAGAAATCAAAATGATAATGATACTATTTGCTATTCTGTTGTTTTGTGTCCTGAAGGAAAACTTTCTGTAAATAGAATGCCAAAGAATCATAGAATAATCTAGGTTGGGAAAGACCTCCAGAGGGTCACCTAGTCTAAACCTCTGTTCAGAGGAGGACCAGTTAGAACAGATGGCTCAGTGCCATGTGGACTTCTGAATATCTCCGAGGATGAAATTCTACAACCTCTCTCAACAGTGCTCTGACCACCTCATGGTGAGCAAGGCTTTTCCTTGTTTTTTATACTGTGGTGACTGAGTGCTGGAACAGGTTGCCTGGGGAGACTGTGGTGTTTCCATCCTTGCAGATGCTCAAAAGCTGTATTGGTACGGTCCTGGGCAGCCAGCTCTAGGTGACCCTGCTGGAGTGGGGGGAGTTGAAGATAACCTTCAGAGGTGCTTTCCAACTTCAACTTCTGTGATTTTATTGTATCTAATAGGAATTTCCTTTGTTGCCTCTTGTCATATCACTGGGCATCTCTGAGAAGTCTGGTTCTGTCTTCTCTCTACCCTCCTCATCTGGTAGCCAGAGTCAGGTTAATCTTCTTTCCTGAAGGCTCAAGAAACCAAGTTCTTTTAGCCTTTCCTTGTATGTCATGTTCTCCAGCACCCTAATCATCTTGGTGGCCTTCCCCTGGACTTGCTCCAGCCTTGAGTTCAGGAGCACAAAAGTGAACACAATACATCACATGTGATCTCACAGGCCTTGTCTGCATCACTAATAAATGTATTAAAACAGTAATGGCACCAGTATTGATTGTAGATGGATGCCACTAGTAACAGGCAGCAATTTTGTGTCCACTGAGCCAGACCTGTCATCATGAAAAGCTAAGCTTGGTCATGCACCATCTGCTCTTCTGTGAATCCTGTGCTGGATAGTCACAATCGCCTTGTGATTCATGTGCCTGGACGTGAGTCCTAGGAGGATTTATGTATTCTATAATCCCCCTAGGAGCTTGAGGGTAGGAGGGTCTGACCAGTCTAATTTCCAAGATCCTCCTGCTGGCCCTTCAAAATGTATGTGACTTTCAGCTCTCTTTCAGTGAGCTGGAGCATCCCAGTGTTTCCTTTGCCCCATTAAGCAGCAGGCTCATGTAGCACAAAATGTGAAAAACTCAGTGATTTTTTCAGTTAGCATTCTTCTCATTTTTTTCTTTGAGTAACTGGAAATGTCTCTCCTGTAGCTGGTTCCAGCACTATCATTATTGCTGTGTATTGCTAATATAGGTGGGTTTATGTGCTCTGTAGTTACAGGTTGATGGTTAATACAGCTTTGAAAAGAATGTCTATGCTCATCAGAACAAATAGGCATAAATAATGTATATGAATGTGAGCTAGTGAGTTTTAAGGTCTATTTGAGCTGTTAGATGCTGTTGTCCTGGTATGACCCCTTCACTCTAACTAGAAAAGGATTTCAGAAAGTGTACTTTATGCAGAATGAAAGTTAAGATCTCTTGAAACTTGACATTGGTATGTTTTTTACATTTCTCTTCAAATTTCATGTCTCTGTGAAGTCATTTCATGAATGGAGCTGTAGTTATTGAAGTGTTTTTAAAAAAAGTAACAGTTTGGTGAAAGACTGAATTGATTGCTATGTACTTTAACAGTGTCTGCAATTGAAATAATTAGAAGCTGTTACAGGAAATGTTTGCTCACTATTTTTCACTCCATGAAGTCTATGCTTCTGGAATTTGGCTGTTTAGTGCAAGCATGACAGAACACCAGCTGTGTTTTGATCAAGGCCAATATTTGGCAAATGTTATATTTTTGAAAGAAACTTAGCACTTAGTCTGTTTTGATATGGACTTGAAATATGGATATGTATTTAACTTTTCCAGGCTTTAATTTGTTTACATTAAACTGACTTAGGTTGTGAAAAATTTCTGATCTTTTTTTTTTTGTCTAGGTGGAAATAAAAGGAGGTGAAAATGATTACTACAATGTGCTTCCAAATAAGAGCCTGCAGAAAGTTTACAAGGAAAATGGAAAGAAGCTTGGAATAGATTTTATATCGGAAGACTGTATCTTGAATGGTTTGTCAGGTAACTCGATCTGGGGGTTTTGTTATGACTTAAGCTTAGATTGGCCAGCTCTTAAGTGCATAAAATAAGAGGACAGAGGTAGGTTAAACATGTTTGGTCAGAAGAAAAAAGCCAAATTAGAAAATGGAAGCTCTGTAAAAGGATGGTACATCTGGCCTGTGTTTCTGTATTTGTTGAAGCTGAAAAAATTTCCCAACAGGTATGGAAAGCAGTAATCATTCTCTGATAATATTTCTGAAAATATTTTAAGTGAGAAAGTTTGGTTGTGGGGAGGAATAGAAGAATGGAAAGATAAGAACTGTCTACCTGAGAACATGAGGATGTGGAATGAATTGCAGGTCATTCTGTTGCTTTGAATTACAGAATCCTGCTTTATGCTATGAATGAAGATGAGATTTAGTTTTAGGAACCTTGTTTAAGAATATTTTCCAAGCTTACTCATAAACAGATGTACTAGCATCTAACTAATGCTTTAGAGGGAGTTTTTTGAAGAGAAATGGAAGTTTAAGCATCTTAGTAATTAACCTCGTTCTGTTAACAGGTAATTCTGTGCCTCTAATTCTAGTTCACAGGTTCAACAAATTAGTTTTCCAAAGGGTGCCGTTCAAATAGGTGTTCATTTCTGGGTCTTGACTGTGTCTCAAACTATTTAACTTTCTCGGTGTCTCAGAGGTATAGTAATAGGAGTGTAAATTTTTGAATGCTCAGGTGGGTTTCTCATTACCCTTAACTTTTTCCGGAATTTTCTTACAGGAGCTCTGTTCAAGTCTTAAACTGCTGTTATTTTTATAGCCTTCACTACTGATCATAACTGTATATATAAATGTTTCTACTACACTCGTGTTAAAGGTTTTTCTCTTTGGTTAAAAGGAAAAGATTGTTTTCAGTAAAAAACTATTATTCCAATTAGCTTGATTGCAATACTAATGTTCTCTATACTAAATGCAGATTATCTTTGGATGGTTGAGATCCTGGTGTTTGGTGATAGTTTTCCAAACTTTTATTTGTGTGTGGAAGACAGCATATCTAATGATATTCTGGTTGGTTTTCTCTTATTTCTTACTTGCCTTCCAAATTAAGGCAACACTGGTATATTTTCTCCAATTGGTTTCTTGTCTTGAGTTTAAAAACAAATTATAACTAAAGGTGGATTTCTTTTTTTATTCAATATGGTACAATAAGACTTGCTACTTTGCTCATTTAGCTTAGGAAAGGTGCTGAGGAACTTTATTGAGCATGTTTACTGTAGTGAAAATTTCTGGAACTCTGCGTTGCTTCCCTCAAGCCATTGTATTAAGGGTGAAGGTCATGAATACTGGTGGTCATGCTGGTTCAGAGGGCTTTGAACTTAGTACAGACACCTAATTGTAATAGTGCTTTCATATGTAAGTTACGTGATATGCTAGATGTTAAACATTAATTTCCTTAAACTGAAATTCTCCGTATGCCTGTCCTGTCTTTAAATTGCTTGTCAAATGTCAAAATGTGCTTGAGCAATTATGTTTTTATTGCACACTGCAATAGGCCTTACTGAATTTTCTTTCCACAGCTGCTTCTCTGAATTTTTGCAGTGGGGATTTAGGAGTAATAACAAAGCACAGTCTCCAGAGACATAGGAGTGGAATTTTGTATGCTACCCTTTTTGGGAGGGGTTGAGTGTTTTGTCTCATCTTTTTCAAGACCTCTATTTCTGTTTAGTTTTCATATGGTTTTCAATGTTTTCTTTTAGGATATCAGTTTCTTCTGTTGAAAGGGAAGGAAGATAGCTCAGTTGCTTCTCCATGTCTGTGCAGCAGAAAAGTCGTTAACAGATGAGCATACTCGCTGCCACCTCTACATGGGTATTAGTATCGGTCTGCTTACAGGTATCGCTCTAGGTAGCAAAGCATTATGAAGAATTCCTTTAGTTCATCAAATTACACTACCTTGTGTGTGCCTTGTGCATGCTCCACTCATTTGGCACACAGCCAGGGTGATGTGAAATAATGTGAATCCGAGTTAGCTTTGACCAGGTGCCGTGACCTTTCTCCTTCTCCTGGTAGGGTAGCTCTACTACAGGATATTGATAACCTCCCAAAGCAGATGGCTTGGTTTAGTGTGCCTTAGTTGAGTCACCCATGCTTGTAATAACTTGATATTTTTAGCATTCCTGGGGTTTATTGGCTTCCTGTACACAAGACTGGTATAGATAATCAGACGGAGCCAGTATGTTTTGAAAATACCACTTTTAAAGCTTGGGGCTGTATATAAATGCTTCCTGGAATCTTTTTTGCATTTTCCCTGTGTTCATGTTTGTGGTAATACTGGCTTCCATTACGTACATGCTGAGTGACTTGAAGAGGCTTCAGTATCACCTTCAGGATTTTCTGAGAGGCTGGAGCTCACAGCACCTTTCTGTTGAAGATAGTGCACAAGTCTGTGTATTGCATTGATAACGTGCAATTAATTATGCTTCTAGAAGGAAACCTGATCTGTACATCTCTATCAAGCATACAGTTCCAGATGTTTGTATGGAAACTATTGGGACTCTTGATGTTTTAAACATGCTACTAGGCATGACAGAGGGCAAGATTTTTTGCTTCTAGAAGAAACTTGATCTATGTATCTCTAGCAAGCATACAGTTCCAGATGTTTTTTTGAATGCCTGATGTTTAAACATGCTGTTAGGTATGGTAAAGGGGAAGAGGACTGTCACATTTTTATTAAAAATTGCCTGGATTTTGGCTTGATAGGCTCTCCATCTTACTAGAAAATGCCAAGTTTAACTCCCTTACATGCAGTAAAAATAACTTGTAAACTGTTAGTAGATTTGAGATGGATGTAATTTAAAGTGGAGTTGCATGACTGGGAGCTGGGATGCACTGAAATAGCTAGTGCTTCATTTGCTGGATGAGAGCAGGGGAAAAGGCCACCACAGTCTTTCCAGCAGGTTGTGTATTAGGACTTAGTAAGGCAAGTCTTGAATTCTTGGTTTAGTCTGGCAGAACTCCTGGACTTCTAGTTTCTTTCCAGGCTGACCAAAGAATGGATCAGTAGTGTAGACAGCTGAAAATTAAAATAGCTTCTTGCTATGCCAAAAGTTGGGTTTTCTTCAAATGCATATTGAATTTACAGGGAAAAGATCTGGTTTTTTTTTTTTGGACAAGCCTTGCTGCTTCCATTTGTCTGTAAGCAGAGCAAATAACAAGCTAGTCTTGTGCTCTTTGATCACATAATGTAGGCTCTGTGGACTTGCTTTTAATAACTCTGCGCTTCCAAGTAAAATCTGTATTCTTCAGTCATTTCATTACTAAGTCTTAAGGCATTAGCAGTATCTTGTCTCCATAAAGTATCATGATATGGAGGCTACCCAATGTGATAAAAATAATTTTAAATCTTTGGAACAGTTATTTTATATATGATTGCTAAAGAAAATTCTTACAGCTCTGGCCTGAAAAAAATTGAGGTCTTAGTTGGTCATCACTATGTGGCTAATTAAAAAAAGGCACTGGGGAAGTAGTTGCAGACTCTTGGGTGACTTCTGTGAAGGATCTACTACTTCTGGATGGTATCATTAAATAGATAAGGCAGTACTTTGAGATAGGTACTATCACTAGCTAATATACTGAAAGTGCTAGTCGGACATGAAAGAATCATCATTAAAATCTGCAGCATTGCTATCAAGAATTTTTTTAGTGTTTACAAAGCACTAGTGTTTTTTCTGGAGTTTAGTTCTGATCTTGTTATTTCAAGAGTTCTTGTGCTGAACTGAGAATAATCAAAAAGCACAGGAAAAAAATAGCTGTCCTCAACCTGTTTTTGTTTAAAGATAGATTGTTCGTCCTTCAGAGTCCCCTACCTTATGCTGATTATTTGCATACTGGTGAAAAGTGGTAACTGTTGGGCCTGCTTCTGAGGGCTGTAGCAGGAAAATAGCTGGACTGCCCAAAACTCCAAGGTTTGCACCTTTCATTGTTTCTGAATCAACAGCTTACTATCAGGAGATGCTTGATAAAAAAATGAACAGTAAATGAAATAGGAACGTGCTGATATGTCTTCTTGCAGTCCAGTAACTGATTATTGATCAGAAGCGAACTGGAGAGCAGCATCTCCAGTTAGGGAGAACATCTCTGTGATGGGGGATTTTTGTATGGATAATGCCTCACTAGAAATGCTTTTATTTTAGTATTTGGGGCAAAGGATATTCAGTTTTATATATGGGCTGGAAATAATCTGTCATTTTCTCACAGCATTCAAAAACTCTTCAACACTCTTCATTAAGAAAATTTCTGTGCTGCTTCTAGGTTCCACAGACTTTGGAAATGTTACATTTGTAGTCCCTGGGCTTCATCCCTATTTTTATATTGGCTCTGATGCATTGAATCATACTGAGCAGTACACAGAAGCTGCAGGTGAGCGAAAGTGAAAAGTGTTAGAGATTTATATTTGGCACTCTTGAAGGGACTGGTTGCTGACTTTTCACTACAGCAAATCTAGAAATTATAAATATTTCAAATTGTAGAGGATTAAAGCTTTCACATGCTTCTATGATATTCAAAGCTACTGTGTATAAATGTTTAAAAGTGTAAGTATTAGACTGAAAGTGGCTGCATGTGAATATCTGTATAGAAATGGAGTTGCTTGCTTCAACCATGATGGGATGAGCTGAATATGGACCCTGAAACAGTTTACTTAATTGCAGAGGTGCAGAAAACAGCTGACAAAATGTAGAATTTCTGTTTGTGTTTAAAGTTAAATATTTAAGGGAAGGCTCACCAGTTCTCATACTGTGCAAGCCTGACTTAGTATGCCATCTAGACAGAAGAAATTAGAAGGATTATCCCTAGCACATATTCAAAAGAGCTTCTAAACATGAGCCAAAAGATAAAAGTAATTTACTCCTAAAGCACAGTACTTTGGAAGTGTAATAGAGATAACAGTATAAAACCATGTATTTTCTAAAAAGGAAAAGGTAAACACTCATTTTCCTGGTTTTAGTCTTATTTGTTTACATCAGTAGCAGAAAGTTAAGTACTTACATGTGAAAATTTGTTTTGAGGCATCAGAAAATAGACATACTTCATTCATGCCAGTAGATTTTTAAGAAGCTGTTCTTGCGATTGAAACTTGAAGATATCACTTAGAATATGCCCTATGCGGTAAGCTAGTGGGTTTGTATTTAATATTAGTAATCTAATCTGAAATTTCTCTTGCTTTTTTCTGCAGGGTCACAGAATGCTCAGTTCTACACTTTGCGCACAGCAAAAGCTTTGGCAATGACAGCACTGGATGTCATTTTCAAGCCAAGTCTACTAGAAGAAGTCAGGGAAGACTTTAGACAGGTGAAGCTAAAAGAAGAGGGACAAATAAATCCAGTAGAACCTAACACAGAATCTGGCGTTGGCATAGGAGCGTGTGCATCACACTAAGCCTTATTAGACCTCTCAGTAGGATTGACTTCATGGAGATGCTGTATTTAAATCCCAGAAAGGGCTGGATAAACACATAGCTGAAGAAATGTTTTTTTTTTTGGACTTTAGGAGAAGCAAATAGTACATTGCTTTCCAAAATGTGCAATTTCATCTAGCTGTAACATTGGCTGTATTCAATACGGTGATGAATTTCAGAGAGAGATCTCAAATATATTGCCTTTAAGTTGCAGTGTTGAATAAATGATAGTGTTTAGATCCCTTGCCAGTGATTTTCTATGTATTGCTAAAGCATTTACATAGAAATTTTTGTTCTAAAATAAGCACTGTTCACTCACTGATCATAGACTGGATCTGACCTATGGAGCATTTCTCTCTGGTTAGTCACTTTTTCTCGGGACAAGATAGAGGATTAAAACCTGAGCTGGTTTCACTGGAGGGAAGGGCCTATATTTGCAAGTATGCCTGGTTTTGACACTAGTAGCTTCTAGCAATGGAAGAGAACTGTTTGTATGGAAATGTGATCTGTAAAGGTTGATTGTCCTGAAATGCGTTGACCTTCCTCCTAATAAATTTTGGAGGTGGTGTGGAGAAGTCATTGGTCAAAAAATTGGAAAGCAACTAGTGTTGTTTAAATTAATGCATTTAAACTACTGCAGGAAAATGCATGTGCACCTTTTTAAGTTCTACACTAAGGCAATACAAGTGTCCACACAAGGTGTTGCACTGATCTGGAGGATGTGTATAAATTCAGCTAAACCAGTAGAAATCGTTTTCACAAAGGTATAAACATGGTACTGTGAAGCAGTAAATTAAGGTAACCTTAAACTGGTTGTGTGCAAACCCCTGTAATAAGCTCTGAGAAGCTTGCACTGAGGATTGCTTGTGCAACAGTAACTGGCTTCTCAAACCTGTTTGCATATCCTAAGCAACAGATCCATTAAGTCTTGCCAGTTGTCCTCTCTGTGTGGTTAGTCTGTTTAGTCCTTGCTATTTTGCTTCCCAGACAGGTTAATGTTGCAAATTTTATCTAGGTGGTGTTCTGTGTGTCCAAACATCTTCAGAATTTTTTTACTTTGCTTGTTAAAGGCTGACATGAATACATAGAGAAGGAACTAATCTTTTGTTCAAATACAAATTGCTGAGTCAATGGACAGACTGAGTGAAAAAGCAGCTTACTAGTTAACACTTTCCTAAGCATAGGTTTTATAGTGAGCTTCTGAAAAGTCAATACCCAAAATAATTTCAGAAACCTTGTTTTTAACAGCACCAATTTCTAAATGGTGAAATTCTAACGAGAATTTATATTTTATTAATGTCTATATTCAATTTCTAATTTTGGAAAAAGCAAATTCCTTATCTTGGTTTAACTGTGCTCCCTCTGGGTTTCTGCACATACTCTTTAACACAGACCTCCAGCTGCTATTTAAAAATCCTGCTGAGATTTTCCCTTCTGTGTGTATGTCATGTAGACAGTGTGGACAACGTAATTTGACAGTTTTTAGAGTTTCAGATGATACTTGTATACTGTGTGCTTGTAATAATAGGACACAGACTGGCTATTAATACAAGAAATGCTCAGTGTCTTTGGAAAAGGGAAGTAACTGTATATCTTTCTTAAAGAACTAGAGGCATAAATAATGTTTTGTATTACAAGGCAGTTGTTTGGAGAGTTGAGCATGACCGCAAGCCTTCAGGTTACAAGTGGGTCCTTGCAGCAGTACCCTTGCTTTCATTAGCAGGCAGTTTTGACAGATGAATGCATGAAACAGATGAGTGTTGGACTCTGAGCTTATAGGTATGTCCAGGATAGTAAGTTGGATACTAAATCCAGCTGAAATTTGGTCCAAAGCTTGTCAAAGGAACTTTCTCCTTAACTTTTAACTTAAACCCTGCCTTGCCAGTTCTCATTAAGTTTCTTTCATTAAGTTCTGCTGGGTTAATAAGCTAGTTTATTAATTTCCTTAGCATATGTGGGTTTTATTTCCTCCTGCATGAGCTTAACTTCTTGCTTTGCTGTTTTTAAGATGGAGTGTTGGAATGCCAGTGATAGGAATGTGTGCTGCATTGTTGGGTTTCCTACAGGCTGATGTGTTATAGCCTTCTCAGTTCTCTGTCCAGACTAGCTGGCTGTTGGCTGCAGCATTTCCAAGGTGGTTTAATTAAACATTTCTGCACTAAAAGCATGTCTTAATTTTGTTGTAATGATTGCTGGAATTAAAATGAAACTGAAGTACTGATTAAAGATGAATTGATATCAATAAAGCAATTTAATTGTGACTGAATTTTCTTGTCCTTTGATTAATATTGGGCTGCTGCATGATTTCATTTGAATAGCGTATTCTATTTTTAATAGTATTCGATTCCCCCCCCCCCCTATATAATGATGTGAGAGTGAGGATGGTTTAAGCTTTCCATTTCAGGCTGCCATAGTGAGCAGGCTTTTTGTGAGAGTTAATGCTTTTCAAATACAGTATTTAATGGTAGCCTTTATAATCTTAGGCCTGTTTTAATTAAGACATGTTAGAATTCATAGGATAATAGGAAGGGTGCTTGGGAGAGTTCTCTAGAGGATCTCTGTTAGGCTAAACCTGGTCTGGCCTCCTCTTGAGGTGGGATTATCACCAACACTAGATCAGGTGAGCTTGACTTGTCACTGAATCCTGGAAACCTCCAAGGATAGAGACTTTTCAACTTCCCAGGCAAGTTAATTCCGATTTGTCTCAGCATATTTGTTCTTAAGGTCCAGAACTAAAGCAGTTTGGGATTTAAGGTTAGGATTTTATTATCACAATATTACAGATGAAAGAAATGTATTTCCTGTGGGAATAAAACTCACTTTGATTTTCAGTAATTTGTGCTCATAAATCATGTGTATGTGAAAATACCTGGCATGTTTTAAGTTACCATAACTGCAGTCTTCCCCAATCTGGCATGTTTTTTTAAGTTACCATAACTGCAGTCTTCCCCAAGCTGTTTGTAATTTAAGAATATTTGAATATTTGTCAAGAATAGTAGTTTTAGCAATGACTCAAAATGTGTAGGTAATAAACTATAATTCCTGAAACAATTCTGACCAGCTGATAGCAAATCCTAGCTGTTTAAGGATGATGTGATTATGTCCAGACTTTGAAGAACTTAGCTTGATAGGCTGGCAGAGACTACAGTGTTTCCTTATTTTATACCTGTCCTAGAACTTCAGTAGAAGATACGCCTGATTTTTAAAAGAAAAATAATAAAAAATACCCACCCTCCAAAAAAAAAACAACCCATGAAATGCAATGATTTATTTTTATGAAAAGATGTGAAGGAGACAACTTGTAACGCGTGAGCTAAGCTACCTGGTGTAGAAGGGTCCAGCAGTCTTTCTTCAAACAGTAAATGGGGAGTAGATTTATGTTTTTGTGAATTGCATTTCTGTAATCATTTAGTTCCCACTGCCTGAGTGCTCTGTACCTGGTTACACTGCAGTCAAGAAAGCAAGACTTCCTGTGAATAAGAGTCATAACACATTAGCTGTTGAAATAAGTCTTTGTCCAGTGTTCATTAAAAGTGGTCCTTTCATAACTGTCTAAATGCAGATTTTTTTAGAGCAAAGTATTTGGGATTAAATAATTCTAAAATAAAGAAAAAATCAGTCTACATCATGACCTGTTTTTCCTGAAGGTTTACTTTTCCTGTCCTGCAAGTACGTGCCCTCCACAGAGCCTTTGCCAACCTGGCTGGCTGCTGGTGCCATCCACATGTTGGTGTTTGATAAGCACAGTCACCCCACTTCCATTCTCTAGCCTGGTGAGACTGCAGTGTGGTTCTGTGCTGCTGTTTGCTAACTGCCATGCAAGATTGTGGTGGGTTTATGGAGGACACAAAAGTGCATCTCTCTGAAGAGTTACCTGAATTCTCTACTAAGCCAAAGTTGGGTAAGATTGCTGCTGCTTTAGCTTCCTTCAGGCACTAGTAGAAGCCAAAAGTATCTGACAAACTCATCAAGGATTTTTGTTTTCATCCACAACTGCGTCTGAGCTTCTTTATTTAAAAGTAGTGAGAAGCCATTGTTTCAGTCCTGGGAAAGAATGAAGTCCCTGTGGTTGTGGGTAGTCTTAACAGCCATAAAACCAGACAGTTACACAGTGCCATCATTTATGATAACTTTGCATAGGTACTCTAAAGCAATCTTTTCAGCTGTTCAGTCTCAAAGATAACTGTCAAATGGCCTATCTCTTCTTAACTTTTCAAGGACCCCATGGAAGGATAAAAGCACACAAATGTAGTACGTGTTCATCAGAACTACAGTGCTGGAGTCTTGTTTCATAATAAGTGTTTGATAAGTACTTCAAATTCATCAGGAGTTGCATTTTTCCTTAGTTTTCCTGTTTATACTTTCAGTTTTTGAAGACTAAAACATTCTTCACACCCTACAACTTGTTCAGCTTTCACAGATTTGTTTTAGGGTCTGAGTGGCATCATACTGCTACCCAGCTAGTTGTGTCCCACTGTGGAACATGTGGTGCAGGTCATCTCTGTTGCTTTTATTTCCCATTGCTGCTGCTTCAGTGCCCCATCAAATGCTATGCTGCTGTATGAGCAAGCGTGGGAGAGGGGAGTCCCGGGGGTTTCTACTTGTTCATCAGGGCTTGCGGGGAGTTTGGATCTGTTTTGTACTGAGAGAATCCCTTGCTGAGGTGTGCAACATGGAAAAAGAGACATCTAATGATTATTGTGAGGACATCCTTTTACTAGGGAAGAAAAGAGATAGTTAATCTTTCTTCATGCCTTCTCACTATTCTGTTTCTGACTGAAGTTTACCTTTTTGCTGCCTCACCCTATCAGTAATTATCACCATCCTTAAAGACTATTAAAGGCTTCAGTCTCCAAAGCCCTTAATCTAGGCATTCTCACAGGCAGAATTTGTGTCTATCCATAAGCCTCACAGACCTGCCAATACACTTCAGCTTCGAAAACCAGCATCATCCCAGGCTGGGCTTTGGGTTAACCTCCAAGCAATTAATCTGAATTATATTGCAAAGTATCACCCGAAGGAAGAAGAACGAGGACAGTAACGTACGCAGCCTGGGGTGGAAAGCTTAATGCCATCTTCTCTGTGACTTTGAGTTTGTGTGCAGGCTTCTTACCAGCGCCCTGCCTGTGAAACCCCGGGGCTCTCCAGCCCCACCAGCATCACAGGGTTTAAGGATGTTCGGTATTGGACTGGATCAGGTCCTGAGAAAAAGGTCTTATGTACTCAGAAAGATCATTCTTTGGAAGGTAAAAACCACGCAATGCTGTACAAATGTGATGTTTTATTGTGATTTTGAGTGCTTCTAGAAATAAACAAAACCAAACAAATCACTCTGACTTATTGTGGAAATGGGAAGGAGCAGAGTGTTGATTGGATACAAAAACCATACACTGAAAGGTTAAAAGCCAAAAACCCTGTGTGTGTAAATATGTTTAATCAGTACAGTTGTTGATAGCAAACACTGGCTGTATATGACATATCCTGTACTTATAGAATACATCTATATACACATTTATATAAGACTGAAAAGGCACTAGAATTTCCCAAATAAAACACAAGTAAATTAACAATGTAATTCCAAACACGGAGGTTGGGGAATCTGTTTAGGGAGACCTGCTGGAAAGGAAACTTTGAAAGTCACATGGGAAATCAGAAACCAGTCTCTCAGTGAAAGCCAGGGAGTTCGAAAGTCCAGCTCCCATTTGTATCTTCAAAATCTCCCTTACTATACTGGTCAGATGCCAAAGAATGTATGTAGTATGAGATTAATGAGTCTATAAAGGAATGTACAGTACTGCAGCAAACTACATAGCATTAAGCTGCTTATGAAGCTGGAGAGCTTACCATAAAATCTGGCACTCCGTGCTGTTCTTAAATTGTAGAAATAAATGGGTTCTTTGAGAATCTAAATACATTCCTGTGCAAGTAGTGCCCAAGAAATCTTGGTGCTGTTTGTGGGGGAAGGTGCATCAGAATAAGGTAAGGTAGCCAGACCTGGTGGCCAGCTTCTCATCTGCTTTTGCCAGTGACCTTTCTACCTTCAGTTGACTGAAATGTTCGTGGTTTAAGAAAATAGGTATTTATTTTTTTTAATCTCTTGAAAAAAACTACAGAAGAATAATATGGTACGAAGGAAACTTGATAAAATGAACCTAAGATACTACATTTATGTGAAAAAAATAAGCTATGTAGAAATGAGTAGTAAAACTATCTTATGGGTGGGAGTGTCTATTCATGATTTTTAGCTTTTGTGATTTCATTGCCTTACCTATGGAGCGTAGGCTGTAAATGCAAGATGAGCGTAGGTAGTTCTGCAGGTCACGAGTTTAGCAGTTGTAAGAAATGCTGAGTATGTTTACATGATGTTTATTTACATAGGAAATTAAAGCAACAACCAGCAGTGTTCAAACAACTGCAATGTCTGTGTCAGGAGCCTGACAGTAGAGTGGCAGATCGGTCAGTCCGGGGCAGGTTTCATGTAAGAAGATTCACTTTCCTTTTGGAGATACAACTGCTTTGGTCTGATTTTCAGAGCAGCTACACCTGTAAAAGACAACAGCATCTGCTGTGCAGGGAATAATGAATTTTAATAGTGTGCAAAAGCGTGCGTGTGTTTAAAGTCCTGTTAATCCAAACCAACAGTTAGCTGTGGATGTCGGTGTATAACACGTGGCAGCAGACCAACTGAACGGCCACGCTTTCTGCGATACCTCTGGTGCTCTTGTTATTGTCAAAGCCCCTGATTCCATTCAACCAATTCTTGTTTTCCTGAAATATTTGATCACTTCTGCATTACAGATTTTGCCTTTTCTATATGGCGTATTTACGCTGACTGGCTGCTCTGCAGAAACTGTGATGGAACGTTGGGACTTCAGTCAATGCCCAGTGCCCCCAGCTCCAGCTGTGTCTCCTTGCTCCTGCCCTGGAGGGTGCTGAGCCTGCTCCAAGGGCACGGCGGGCTGCAGGGTGCCAGGGGGGTGGATGCGGCGTGAAAGCAGAGTTGATTAGTTGTACCTGGGTCTGCAATGGAGCTGCTGTCTCATGGTAGAAGCTCCTTTTTACTTCATTCCAAAGTTTTTGGCATGATATCCTTAGTAACTCAAATATAAAGTCCTTACTACTGCTTTGTCAGCTGGTGAGCATCTTTCTATTACGCTTTTACTAAAACCAGATGAACTAGGCTTTTCTTGGAAACGAGTACAATTACTGGTGGCTTTACAGGCTGCAACAGGTTCTCAGGCTGTACGGACCAGTAACACCCTGACTATCAGAGAAAAGAAGCTTCTCCTGGCGTAGTTTTATTCTTTTTGTAGACACTCGATTGTCTTTGCTGGATCATTTTGTAGAGAAACCTGTTTCCTCTCCCAGGAAACTCAAGAGCAAAACTCCCACCAGCCCAGATAAGCAGATCCCAGGACAGCTCCTGTGTTTCCTAGAGGATTTGGTTAGCATTGCAGGAGGTCTGGCTTTTGTTTGTTCCTTAGTAAATACACATTGCAAGACATATTTTAAAAAGATAGTCAAAACAGCTTGGAAAGATTTCTTTGTTTTAAATATGATCAAGACAAAGCACAAGTCTGAAAGTACTCCTACGTGGACCTGTCAGTGCAGTGCTGCTAGGGGGGCATACATTAAGCAGTGAAAGCAAGCTGTAGCCATCCATAACCTTGCCAAACTGTTTCCTGGTACTGAATATTTTGTGCTTGCAATGACCATTTCTGACCTCATCCTGCAAACACACAAGTATTTGCATATTCTTCTATTTCTTGGTATTGAATGTGATAAATCTGCTGAGTTGAGAGATGTACGTGTTCACTCAGGTGCTTAGAGAATTAGGATTTCAGGGGCACAAAATGGAGGATGCACCATATATAAGCAACTGGCAATTATAGTCACTTGTTAAAATAGTTTACAGTGGCCTGTGAGGCACAAGAAGGAACATAGCACAGCTTTAAGTATAAAATTTTTGATTGTATATCCTATATTTTGCTGAAATGTGAAACTTGCACAATTATTTATGCCTCAGATGAGTTGCATCTAATAAAAAAAACTAAATCCAGAAGAAGAAATCAATCTTCCAATTAAAACAATTCTCCATTTTCTTTCTGTTAGCCTATGAGACTGTTCTTTCATTTAATGTCACAACCTCTGTGACTACAGAGGTTATGTGTACTTATGAAAAAATGGACCAGTATATCAAATTAAATAGAATGTATGCACCAGGGAATATTATCCTGGAGTACTTGTCGATGGCATGAGTGTCGATCCGCATGCTGACGTATCTCTGGTTTTTCCTCCTGCCCGAGCCCCTCTCTGACCCCAGCGCCAGCTGCACCATCATTCGATCTTGTTTATCTCCGTTCTCGGACACGTAGTGGCCCAGTTCGTTCACATCGCCGTCATTGTAGCTGCCGTCCATCATCATGGGCCGAGGCTGAGGTAGGCTGCACGCACAGGGAAGCTGTGGACACAGGTAAATGTGGGATGATTTGGGGTTGTACATAGACATCCCTTTTCTCCTTAAAAAAGAAGAGGAGAGGACAAGCCTGGGGAATTCAGGCTGCTGGGACACAAAAGGGAGAATGAGAGGATGGAGCTGGGCAGCAGCTTTTTATTTCTCTAGTTTCGCGTCTGAAAGACACAGTTCAGTCAGGGAGAGAGCGAGGCTGGCTGCGGAAAAGCTCATTTGGCTTAGGCACTGGTATCAGGGTGTAAATAAAGGTTGGACCTGTGCCTTAAAGCTGAGAAAATCAGAGAAGAGGGCAGAGAAAATCTGAAGGAGGAAGGTATCAGGCTTGCGCCATTTGAAAAGAAGAGCTTAGGTTATAACTTGATGTAACGAAGGCAGAAAGGGGAAGTTTGGTCCTCTGTGTGTAAGTTTAGACTGTGCCTGGAGAAAGGTGGGGAAAATCTGCCACGTTATCTGAAACCAAAACCACAGTACCCATCTGGAAGTATTCACAGGCCTGGATCTTCAGCATAACAAATATTTAAAGGTAAAGTCCTAAACCCTATCCCATTTATACAGGCAGTGGAGGGCTATACATGGAGGGACTGAGTGCTCTCAGACTCAGAGGAAAGAGCAGTGAGTTTGGGTGTGGGTTGTCTGTAGCAAAGCTTTATAGCTAGGAACGCCTCACTGCTGGTGTCTTTTTCCATGTGCTGCATTCTCTGCAGGCAGCTGAGAGCAGCACACTGTAGTTGCAAACTTTCGAACATTTCCAGACATTTGCCACACCTTTGCCGAGGGGCATAAAGCTGCGTTGGAGATAGAAAACCTCACCTTGTCCCGCAGTTTCCTTTCCTTCCGCTCTTGCACTGTAGTCAGGTAATTCACTGCCGCGTATTCCAGCACCGAGAGGAAGACGAACACAAAACTGACCCACAGGTAAATGTCCACTGCTTTGATGTAGGAAACACGGGGCATGGAAGCGTTCACCCCAGTGATGATCGTAGACATGGTCAGCACGGTGGTTATCCCTGGGAATACACCAGCAGAGAGCCCATAAGACACTTTCAACCCAGACTCTTCATGACAAATACACCTGTTATTACAATTTCCTGACATCTGAATTTACCTTGTATTGTTTTTCACATTGGAGTGGTGGGTTTCACTGCCTGAGGAAGGCCCAGGCAACCTGGATTTCTTACTGGGATTGTTCTGTCTTTTTGGTGAGAACAGGTCTAGTTCTGGTCTCGGGGTGTTCCTAGCCTAGTTCCCCGCCACGCCACCAGCCTCCCACCCCACGACCAGCAGCAGCACTTTGACCCCGCGTTGGCCACAGCCCATCTCCGGGCTCAGGACAGTCCCCGGAGGGGGTGTACAAGTAGCTCAGCTTCTAGTTCACCCCCTCTGCAGCACAGGCACAAGTGAAGCCTGTCTGGTGCTGCTGCTGCTTCTTCCACCAGGTTCCCCAAGCCTGTGTTTTCTGTCTGCTCCTGGGAAGTCCTGCTTTCTGGGAAGCCACCAGCCAGCTCCTACGCCTGGTCTGTGCCTTCACCAGGACAAGAGCCGGGACTAACAGGGCCCCGCACGGCAATGCTGCCCCACGTTACACCATGGGCGAGCACAAGGATCGCATCAGCAAGGGCAGGAGCCCCGGTGGTTCCATGTTATCCTGGCTCTGAGGGAGGCTCTCTGTGGCCTTCTTATTTCAGGGGCTAATTATGTCACATTAGTGATCCCTTTGAAAATTAAAATGGTGTATATAAGCACAATGGACTGAATTCACAGGAGTATCTAGGTGCTAAAAAGTACTGCTAAAGGCAGTGCCTACATCTTCCCAAAAGTCAGGCCCAAACCCTTATGTCCCTTTTAATGATGTCACAAGGCAATGGATGCTGTTTCTAAACGCAGACATGGATAACCGCCCCATTGCCATCTCTGTTATGCATCTATGTATCCTCTCCACTGAGGAATATGATTTTAACAATAAAATCCTGAGGTGTGTTGCCTGGAATAAGCGGAAGCAAGCTTGGCCTCAAAGTCTGCAAAAACACAAACAACACTTTGCTAAGGACGAAGCATCCACTTTAGAAGAAGATTTATGTCCCTCTCATAGTTCTGCTCCCATGGTGACTCCTCCGATGTATGGTTTCACCTGTCAGAAAGATGCTGCAAAAGGGGAAGCTGAATCCCTTACATTGCACTGTAAACTCATTTAACAAGTTGAACAGCGCAGCTCAGCTGACTGTGTTACCTCCACCCTCCCTCCTCTAGCAAAACTCAATGAATTGACATTTTGTCAGGGCTGCTAACACTGATTTTCACCGCCTCATTCACTGAAGTCTCTGAAGGATACTGACACTTTGGCTCTCTATGTGCCCTGTCTCTGTTAACAGCAATGACAGCAGAGCGGCACGTTTGCTCTCTGACTTGCACTGCGTGCAGCTACTGCTTATTCAAGTAGGGAAGGCAATTTGCTTGGCATCGCAGGGCAGATGGAGAGTTTGTACCATGGCCAGTCCCCTGTGTAGGGGACACACGTGTGGCAAAGCTGATTTCTGTGCCACGAGGCAGTGCGGGGGGCACAGCACAGGGGGTTTCATCTGGATGGTCAAGGCTGCAGTTGGAGCAATCGTCTCTTAGGTCTGCTGACTGCAAGATTGTTTTTACCTAACGGGACTCTAGCGGGAACTGCTCGTCGATCAATCCAGAAGGACACCCAGGACAACATGACCATGAGGGTGGCAGGGAAGTAGGTTTGGAGTAAAAAGAAGAAGATGTGTCGGCGTAAAGTGAAGTTTATATAGAGGCGATTGTACCACCCTGTATAACAGAGAGAAGGAAAAAGAGAAGTCACACTGACATCAAACTGCTTTCAGATAAGGTGATGTTGCATCAGGGGAATAGTGCCTCATTTGCTGTTAGAAAAACACAGGTAATGACCACAGATCATTACAATTTACAGAAAAGACTCCTTACCGAACCAACTATCAAAGTCAAAGCATCTCTCAGGACCATGTTTTCCAGAGAAGAGAACATAACCTGTGCACTTGGAGAATTTAATTCATGTTAAGGTTGGTGTGATCTTGAAGAGGAACTGTCATTCCAGACTACATAACCATCGAGATGGAAATCTATGGCAGGGACAGCAGCCTTGGCATAGAAGAGAGGCAGGTCTGATGGGCCACAGGGAGACCTCCCAATGGACAATCCTCCACAGCTAAGGTTGAGAGGGTCAGTTTGCACCCCCTTCTTCCCCCAGCCCACCCTCTGGCAGGCACTCTGGTACCCACCTGTGCTGCTGTAAAAGGCGAGCTTTGTAGTGGTGTGGAACTCCTGGATCAGGAACTGAGACAGTGATATCCTCTCATCTGTTTTTAGGGAATCGTTCCCATTCTTCCAGTAGAGCATGAGGTCATCTTCAGTGTAGGCATCTAGGAGAGCAGACCAAACCTCAGTGCAGTGCACTGAGCCAGCTGCTATCACATCCACAACCCAGGGTGTGCCCACACACCTTCCAGGCTACCTGTGACGTCCCAGCTGAAGGGGGCAAATGCCACCACCTGGCTGAGAGCTGCACTGATGGTGGGTATGGTTGTGGCAAGTGTTGTCCCAGCGCTCAGCCCTGATGCCTGGTGTGTTTTGTAAACACTTCTGTTTCTCTAATCATAATTTTGTGCACACATAATATGTGTGTCAGGTAACCCACCACATCAGAACTTGAAAACCTGTCCCTTATAAAGGTCCTAAAATCAGAAGCAATGGAAAGGAGACTTAGAGGAAAGAGTCTGCTTGGGGTAACAGGAGGAAAAAACTATCAATGGTCTGAGGCATGCAGGAGGAAAAACTCTTGGGTAAACTTTCTGCCTGTGATGCACACATGAAAGTTACGGGTCTTGTTTTTTAAATACATGCGGAAATATAGTAATGTTAATCCTTTCAGATGGGTTTAGTAGCAGCTCTTCCCAGCCAGGGAGAAAAAAATCACACATAAATGCATTAAAACAGAATTAAGAATATAATTTCTTATTGCAAGTTTAAGAAGGAGAAGAAAAAAGCTCCTATAAAGCTATCCCTGTATGAAATCTAGCCAATTCGTATGTGCGTCATACCTGGGACAAAGGACCTACATAAGCTGGGTTTATCTCAAATAGGTGTAAGAAGCATAAGAGGAAGAGCATTAATGGCACTGCCCCATCATGGTTTGTACGCCACAGATGAGCCGATGGTGCACATGAAGGGCGTAGGGCCATTTATTTATGTGTTTGAGGGCACCTGGGCAAGCGGGTGCTGCTGGAGACTGCTGACCTGCAGGCAAGTGGCCCAGGTCCTCTGGGGATGGGGTGGCAGCAGGGCAGCCTGACTGGCTAGCAGGGACACTGGCAGGATGGTGCTCACAGCTGGTTTTTAAACACACCACATTGTTGCAAACACCATCTAATTCTAGTGAAAAAAAACATAGGCAGGGAGTTTTTCTTAGTATTGAAGTCCGCTCACTTTGGTTAGAGCTCCCATGAATGTAAAAGCAGTTTAATTATTGGTATGATTATTGATATAATTAAATACACTTTGGGTGCCCATGAGGTGCAGCCCTTGGCTCCCCTACAGCTCTGCTTTACTTACAGCTTTCAATCTCCAGGGAACACGTCTGTGTGTCCAGGGGAAAGCGACTGAAATCCATGTTACACATTGCCGTTACTGTAACTCTAGGAATAATAAAAAAAACCAGTCCATTAAAAACTTGTCTTCTTGTGTGACTGAAAAATAGTAAAGCTGTGAGTTTGGGTTTTTTATTAACTATCTGGCCAGTAGCAGTCTACTGAAAAGAAATACCTTTCATTCTGCTAAAGCCATTCCACTTTATTTAAAGCCATTTCTTTTCAGCAAACTAGTCTTAGAAAAGATGACTAGAAAGTTAAACCATTACAAATTGCTACTAGATGACAAAAATATTGGAGAAGAAAACAGGAAAGGGCAGAGAGGGCACTGCTTCCTCTTTGACTGTCAACAAACAAAGAGATCTATCAAAAAGAGATCTATGCTTTCAACAGATGCTTTGTACGATAAAATAATTTACATTTATTAAAACCATCCTAGTGTCATGAGGGATGCAGGTAGTTTTCTCCACACACAGTGAATTTCTAGCTGCTCAATGAGAACCCGGTGATCACCTGGGTATCAGCCACCAGAGGGCACAGGCAGTGCCTCGAGTTAGGGCTGGAGCTGGTGTGCAACAGAGACCACTGAAATGCTCTGCCCCATCGATCAAAAGATCTGCTCTTGCTGTAGTCTGATTATCTCATTTTTGGTAGCATAATTTTGTGTTTGCACTGGAAGCATCCATAAATCTTGACTTAACTGGCTTGAACTCTAGGGAAGTAAATGAAAATAGAAGTATAAATCATAATGGGGGAAAAATCAATGAATTATCACAGGGCTAATGGTAGACAGATGTCTGTCACATAATGATAAAAACAAGATGCTGTCCCTTATGTCAGTAGTCCTTCTGCATGTGCAGGTTCCCACTGACGCTGCTTTCCTATCTGGATTTAATCCTTGAATGAAAGTGCTTGGCTCGGATTTGTTGTTTAGGTGCCAGCGAGGTCTACAGTGGTTTCCAAGACAAGAGAAAGTCTAGCAAAGAACCTTAAAAAGGCAAACATCAAGGAAAAAAATATAATCTATAGGCAAAGGCATTCAGCAAAGGCAGGCAGGCACTAATGACCCTTTTGCTCTTAAGGGAGATCAGCATTCATACTTCCCCAGTATTCATAAAGCACTCCAACCTACAGTCGCCACTGAAAAAAAAAATAAAACCCTGTCAATCTGCTATTCAAGACGTTCACCACCAATTTGCGCAGGACAATTGTTTAAGTACAAAACTGTGTGTGGCAGGATCTGAGCAGTTTGCTATTCTTCTGTTCCCATTTCCTTTAGACAACCGTAAATGCTTGCAATGCAGATGATCGGTATCATGTAGCTAAATGAAAGAGTACGTAGGCACGCATGCTATAGCTGAACATTATGTCATTTATTGTCCTTTTTTATTGTACTAAGGACCTGAGCAAACTTTGCAAAGGCCTAAGGAACACCTGAACCTTGTCTAATATGCTGAGTGAAGAAAAAGCTTTAATAACGAGACTGTAGACACTGTTCATGCTGTGAATTCCAATGAACAGTAAGGTAAAAATATCAGAGAACAAGAAAATTCTTGTCAAACTAATACCCCACAGGGAATCAAGAATTGGTTTGCTTGCCTTCCTTTCATAAAATACCTCATCAGGCTGAGAAGTTGATCTCCTCACCTCATGGCAGGCTCAGCTCTACCTCTGCCACTCCTAAGGTCGCTGTCTAACATGCCCTCAAAGACCTCCACAGCCTTCCTAAGCAATGTGCTCTGCAACCTTATCATTAGTTAAATCTATGCATCTTGCTGATACTGACCTCCCATCAGTCAGATTTTTCTTCTTTCTTGTCCTTCAGAATACATTATCTATCATCTGATGTTTTGTTTATGTATCATGTGGTTTGCTATTTCATTGCCATGGAGGGGATGTTGACATTCTTGCATCAGAATATTGTATAGAAATTTCCTCTCTAATAGGTTTTTATGGGTCATTTGGCAAAACTTGTTTTCTAACTGGATGGACTTGCAGCCAAGAAAAACAGAAACACTGATTTTATTTTTTTTGGAGATTGACCGATGCTCGTCACTTAGCATCTCCAAGTATGACTTAGGTCAGCAATGTTCTTCTGAAAGCTGATCAACTAGTTGGAAAATAAGGGAGAAAGCTAGGGTTGGGATCACCCCTCAAATTAGAGGACAAAACAAAGTTTACCCAAAATGTCCCCTTCAAGGAGCTTTCACGCATTTCACATGAAATGTGAGCAAAACCAGGAAGAATCAAAGTCAAGTGTTTGGGTTGCTCTAGTCCTACAGGGGAGTCACCAGGAACTATATACCCTTGCTCTGAAGGTTCTCACTTCATGTGCTGAAGGATGATCCATCTGTTTTGTTGCTTATCATAAAGCTAAAGTTGCACTCAGTATAATTTATACTTCTTCATAATTAGCTATAAGAACAGAAATTACATATTTTGCTAGGCCCAGAGACTTTGTTGTAGAGTGAAGTGGATAACTATGGCTGCTCTGGACTTCTGTTTATTATCAGGCATCGCCCTTTTCCCTGGATTGTGCCTTGCCTCTTCAGCAGTGCCCCACAGGGATCACAGCCTGCTGGTCCCCAGTGAGCTGCCCTGAAGGACTGTACCTGGCCACAGCTTCCCGACAGCAGGAGCAGGGGCTGACCATGCACACGAGGCGAAGGGACACTGGTGGAACCAGCAACGTTGGCATAGAAATTGGCTTCCTGCAACAGGTACTTAATGAACTTGCACAGGGACTGAGATGTCGGTGGATAGTCAGCACATTCATTCTTTTTTATGTTGTGGTTGGTTTTTTTTTTTTTTATGGTGGATAGTCAGCACATTAATTCTTTTTTATGTTGTGGTTTGGTTTTTTTTTTTTAGTATGAAGTCATGCAAAAACAGAATCCAGGAATCAATTGAACTGCTTGCTTTCTCACGCCACTAATAGCTCACATTGACCAAATGAAGTTTTACCTGAGGCTATAAAGTACCTTCCCATCTGGCTGGACCCGGAGCATGACATTGTCTGTGGTGGTGTCATGGATGAAGGAACGCTTGGAGTGGACAAAGAACATGTCGGGGACCCAGATCTTCTTCACCAGCCTGCCATCAAAGGTCATGCTTTGGTTGTTGGTGCTGGGGAAGGACAGCCTCTCATCTTTCCAGTAGTGCCTCAGATAAAGTGTCATGGTGAAGTCCTGCAACAAACAGGTTTGTGTCACAACTTACTTACACATTATCAGCATGTCAGTGATTTCTCCTTTCTGGCACAAACCGTGAACTGTAAAGCACCATTCCTGAAGGCACATCCTCTCCCTGAGCTGCAGGGGACACGACTGGCTGCAGCTTGTGTATCCTCAGCTCAGACTGACTTCCTGGGTTCAGCAATCAGAGGTCATCCAGGTGGTCAATCCACCTCTGAAATGCAAATATTGCATTTTGGTGTCTGTGAGCCACTCCAGGGACCAAAAGGCAGACACGCTGAGGCAGTGGTAGGTGGAGAGTGCTGCCGACCACTTAATCCCCCAACCATATGATGCTGCACTTCTGGAGCTAACAGTGAAGAAGCATTTGCTGCCTGCGCTGCCCTCCGTGAAGCTCTGGCAACTGCACGCTGCAGTGGGAGCTCTTCCTCCAGCACAGCCACTGAAATATTTTTGACTCAGTATTTGACCAAAATGTGGGGGGGCGGGTTTGCTCTTTGTCCCCACATATTATACTCTTAGATCCAAGGCATGCTCCTTCTCTTTGAGTTCTGTTGTATTTGGAGTCAGACCCCAGAGGCATGTACACTTGGATTTGCCTTTTTCCTTAGTTCAAAGGAAGCCCTCACCTATCTGAAGATAATAAACACACACGTGTTTATAAGCGTGGTATCTTTGAGTGTAGCATAATATATTGCCCATAAACTGAGGGAAGTGTCTAAGACTGACCAGGCTGCCTTGGTGTCTGGGGCAGAGGAAGTCATATGGGTTTGGAATGTTGGGGGTTTTTTAATTATTTGACATTTGAATTTTTTTTCCCACAACACTTTCCAAGCATTTTGAAATATGAGGGTTTCTGCAATTTTTGTCTGTAGAAGTGATTTGTTAGTTGCAGCCTGTGCTATTATTACGCTAGAGGCCAATATAATTATTGGGAATGCTTTATATCACATCCAACTGAAGCTCCCAAAGCCACTGACCATCTAATTTCTTCTTTTTCATTTGATCCATTGTACAGCATTCTTTAACATCTTTTCCCTGTATTCAAATTTAAAGAATATCATTCTGGGAAACCTTTTACATTGACTCCTGTGTGTTAATGTGTCCTTTAAGCAGTAATAAATTGACAGACACTTGTTCTTCAGCGAGAAGTCAATGCCTCACTTTTTTGCATAAAGTTGCATTTATGGTTGCTGTGGAAAAATCAAGTATTGTCAGCTTTCATTAGAAAAGATTTATTAATATTAGTTTTAGGCTATTAAACTGGGAACCGCATTGTTTTACAATGCATCAGTTCCCCAAGCAACAACCTCATAATATCTCCCTCTTCTTCTGGTCCATTTCTCAGAGACACTATTAACTCTCCTGTTATGTTTGCAAATGAATTTCCAATCCTTGGTAACAATCTGTTTTTCCCTTCTTCTCATCTTTCCTCCAGATGAAACAGCTGCCCCACACATCCTGCAAAAGCTCTGTTAATTTTAGAGTCAGTGGTCTGTAATAGACACTTACAAATTTTTTAATTAATTGGACAAAAAGAATCTGATTTGTGACATCCTAATGAAGTTTTATAATGTCCGTTATTATTTTACCACTTTCTTGCAAATAGTCAGAAAGTAGAAGAAAAAAAGGAAAGATTGATGTATCTAACTCCTCAAGCTTAAATTTAGTACAGAGTGAATATCTCTGTCACTGATGTCTCTCATTTAAAAGGCAAGAAATGATCTTGCAAAGCACCATGGCCTTTTTCTATAAAGCTGCAGAAGTTAAAAAGAATTGATTTTGACAATATAAAGTCTTCTCCATCATTATTTTGCAGACAGCCAAAATTGACCCTGAATGGTTTTTTTACCTGAGGCCAGACAGTGCTTTTCCCATGTTGCTGGGTGTTGCAGCATGATGTTACACAAGGAGCAGGGGCAGTATTCAAAAACCAGGGGAAGTCATGCAAAAATCATAATGCTTGCTTAAAAAAGGAGTGGGTTTTTTGTTTGCGGGTTTTTTACATTGAAATCCTCAATGTTAAGTTCTTTCCATTTGCTTTCAAGTCCCAAAGCTTTTCAGGGGCTCTCTACGCACCTTCACAAGCTTTCTCCTCAACCAGAAGGGCTGGGACCATCCCAGAAGAGATGAAAGCTCAGGGTCCCTATAGCTGGCAGTCAGGGTGCCAAGAGCACCAGAGACAAGGGGGACAATTGGAGTCCTCCCCGGGACTTGGGAGAACGTGCACCCTGATGTGCCTCAGCATTGCAACCCTGCTGTGCCCTGCAAGCGGTTGGTTGACTGCAGATATCCCAGTCCACTCAAAAGCTGAAATAGCTGCACTGAGAGGAGCCTGGTGTGCAACCAGGGTGGCTGCCGAACGCCAGCTGTGCTGCCACACAGCCACGTTCCTGGCTTAGACATGGGAGGAGGTCGGGCGCAGAGGGTTTAACCTTGTGCCTGTTAATTAGGAGCACAGAGAAGTTGGGGATTTCTGTGAAATTTTTAGAAGTGTTGGGGTGTGATTTTTTTTTTCACTTCTGAAGCAAAAGCTGAGCTGCTGAGAGACTCTGGGGATGCTCTGACAGGGTAGATCTGATGAGCTCTGCATTTTGAAAGGGTGAATAAAATTAGTGTAGATCTTGCAATGTACATGCAGGGCCATCTCCCATTCCCCTTCTGTGTTCCTGCTCTTCTGCACAGGCTATTGTTTACATGTCATGTATGCTTGTAAAATCTTCCCATGGAGAATCTTCTGCAGAAATCATACCTTACTTTCAGCAATGTTTTGTGATGAAGAAAGTCCCTCCAGCAAAAATCGTCAAGACCAAAATCTGCACCACTTCGAGAGCTTTTGAAAACTGACCATTTCCACATTACTAATTGTATGGTAGGAAACAAAGGACAGAGAGTCAGTAAGGAATTTAGCCTCTGCAGAACACCAGCGTTAGTCCTGCATTCCCCTGAAATCCTACTTCAGCACCAGTGTGAACATACAGGAAGGACCAACAGAGCTGGTCCCCAGCACACAGCAAGGAATGCAACTGTGAATGTGCCAAAAGCAAGATCTGGAAAAACTTCTCCCCTCTGAGTTAATTTTGGCCATGCTGCTGAGAGCTGGACTTACCAGTCTGAACCAGTGTGGCTCTCAAGATGGCTACATGGCTTCTGGTTGGGAGCTAGCTGGTCCCTGACCACCTCAGAACATGGCGAAAGCGAGACTGTGTCTGCAGTATATCAAAGTGCCTTAAAACTAACACGTTAATTGATCTCCTCAGAGCTTTTAAAAGTGTTATCAGTTCTTAAGAAAATGTAAAATCTCAAACCCTTTGGGACAGTCTTGGCAGTGTTGTATCATTTTGTTCTAGAGAAAAGTTAATGTCAGATTTCTTCTTTCTGCTTCAAGGGAGATGCAATAGTAGTGTAGGGTCAATAGAAGTAATTGTCAGCAGATTTAGATTAAACCCAAATCTGCCTCCCAGAGGCTGTGGAGTGTCCATCCTTGGAGGTATTCAAACCCCACAGACACAAACCTGGACAGCCTGCTCTAGCCGGTGCTGCTCTTAGCAGGGGTTTGGGCTACATGGTCTCCAGAGGTCCCATGTGACCTTAGCCCTTCTGTAACTCTTACCATGTCCACCTCAGAAATGCTGTCTAGACTTTCAACTTGGACATCCACCCCAACAGGAATTGCAGGACCTGGGGGAAAAAAATTAAAAGTTGGTATAAATCTGGTGAGACAAAGTAATCCTCTCACTTTCATATCTTAGAAATAAAAATAGATGTTCAGTCTGAAATAGAAACAACAGTAAGCCAACTGAAAATAGAAACAGTTGGAATTCATAATAAAAACCTCCTAATAACAATCCAAATCAGCAAAGAGACTGACCTATTACTGGCTTTCTCTTTTTATTGTGTCATCCTACACGTGTCCCTTCAAAATTTAAAAGCCCTATCCCTTAGCACTCAGATCCAGGGCTCGCCAGCTGGATGCCCAGCACAGCACCCATTCACATGGAGAGGAGCAGCAGTGCAGCTAAGGGGATGTGGGAGGGTTGCTCCAAATTTTTCACTCAGTTCTTCTGCTCCCTTCTTGGGCTAGCATCATCCCTGAGAGCTACTCCATGTACTTGGCTTTCACATCACTCAGTGCCTGGCTGTGGAAAGGACAGGGTGATGGGATGGCATGCATTACAGGACACACACACGTGCCACTGACTCCGGAGCTCCCAAGAGGAAGGGTTGGGCTGTGATCCCATGTAATAGGGATTTTGATCTTTTTTTCCTCCTCCAGCCTTTGACTAGCCCCTCACATACCTCTGGCAATTACAGTAGAGGAGATCTGTGAAGATAAATAGTGCTCACATTAGTGGGCTGCTATGAAACTGAAACCTTTTTAAATTAATTGAACATACTGGTATTTGGTATATTGAGCATTTAGCAATAAAATCTTCTTCCATCAGAGTATATAATGGTATCCTGGATTTGAATGACCATCTGTCAGCCAGAAAGGGTAGATAAATTACAACATTCTCTAATCCGATGGGCTGAAAGAAAACATGTTCTCCTTCATCCATTTCCCTGAAAGCTTAGGTTGCTCTAGCACGCAGCCATAAAACTGTGAGCAAGCGTTAACACATGGCAGTCAAAACATTTTCTTTTGGATTATAAATGAAATGGCCAGGTCAGTAAGCATGGTACATTATTTGATTATGCATACACATCACCATAATAAGATGAAATCTTAGTATTTTCCCATCATCCTGGAATAAACATACGGTGTATTTGCAGATTTTTATCAGAAAAAAGTGTCACTGAATACCAGGAATATTATATTGCCTGTAATCACATTTCCATGCCTTTGACTATGCTATTTGCTCATTGAAGGAAGAAGGCTATATTGCACTGCGCTCTTGTCCCCCTGAGCAAGTCATGAATTCATAACACAAGATAACAAAAATTAGAGACAGAAAAGGCTCTGCTTGTCAATCTGCTTGTTTACCTGACTACGTGTTACAGTATAAAGAAGCGATAGTGTAAAACAGGAACAGTGACAAATGTGCAGGTTTCATACCTCCAAAACCTGGTCTCATGCTGAAGTCGTGGTCATCTATTCGCAGCAGCTGCTCTGACTTTGTCAGGGGAGATTTGGTGATGTCGGGGCTTCGTTTTAGGATTGGGCTACCAGGAAGAGAGAAGCACAGCTATGAGTCCGAAGCAGTGCCTCTGAGAAGCACGCGCTCGCTTCGCCCCATTATCCCTTAGACCATTTACCCCTTAGATCAGAACCTTGTGATTGCTCGCTGTGGTTGGAAGCATGTCATTAAAAAATGATTCCCACGCTCAACATGCAGCTTAGGCACCTGTGATAATTCTGGCACTGAGAAAATGTTTGTTTGGTGACTTTTTGTCTCTTTAAAATTATCTCTGCTTATAGCGCAGTTAGGAGACAATCATTCAAAACTGTGGGCTGGAGGAATAGTGCGTGCGGGTAAGCAGGGAAATGGAAGTGTAGGGGGGAAGGCATTTCTGACATTGAGTTATGACGGGGCGTGAGACCAGGAATTAGGGAAACAATATATCAAATAAGCTACTGGCTGTTGCCCAGGAACAAAATGGAGACAGGCTGGGCACCAGGCCAGGAGGCAGGCCATCCCCTAACTTGGGATAAAATGATTAGCTCCTGCCCTAGATTTCTAACAAGGATAAAAAGGAGCATTAAAGACCTGGGAGGTCTCTGAGCATTAAAGAGCCTGAGAGAGGGTCATTCCAGAAGCTGCTGGGGTTGCACCGAATGCTGGGCAGAGGATGCTCTGCTCCATCTCCACATCCACTGCTGAAGGTGTAAAACTCTGACTGGTGCTTTGGCAGGGATGGTGATGGCAGCAGCACCTTCATTGCTCCATCATGTAGGTGAAGCCTTGATGTCCTCAGAGTCAGCCACTTGGGTGGCAGGAGGGCTCAAAAACAGGAGGAAAGGTTTTACTGGTTCTTGGTTTGAGAAGAGATGGCACGCTCAAAGAGGCACTTGTCTGAACACACAGAGGTCAGAAATAGATTAATGGGAAACAGGACAACAAAGAAACTTTTACAGGGAATATGTTCCTGAGATAAAGCTCCTCCTAAATGAGACTGCTGAGCCGTGCTGTACTTCTCACAGACTCATGGGCAGTTGTACCATGAGAAGCCAATATAACAATCTCCTGACAGAGACCAGTGGTGTTACCAGCAGCTCGTCTCTCAAACCCAGAGCTTTACTTGGACTACTGAGTATCTTAGATGCTCAGTCTCAGTTTAATAATTTCCAGGAGTGGCAAGTCCTCTACCTTCTTCAGGGAGTTGAATCATTAATTATCCTTCAAGCATTTTAAAAGGTGGCCCCTGCTTTTGCTTTAGATTCAATTCAACTTCTTAAAACCTGTGACGTAGTGAGTGTGTATAGAGGAAGGTTTATACCCAGCTGAGATGGGGGAGCAATATTAGCAGGTCACTGGCAAAACCTTCAACATTTGTAAGCAGGCTTGACTGTGCTCAGGAAGGCTCTCTGTCCCTGGCAGTAGCAGAGGGAAGGATGGGTGGTGTGATGGAGAGCCTGTGGAGGGGGATCAGCTCTGCAGAGGGTTGCTCGGAGGGAAGGCACCTGCTCGCACAGCATGGATGGCACAAACCGTGCAGCCCAAGGGGCTGTGGACAATGGCTGTGATACCACACCTCAACTCCATGAGGGTGTCAGGCAACGTGGCTTCCTCTGGGGTCCTGTTGATGGCACGACTTCTACCTAAATAGGACTGGCATGCTCGAGTGGTGTTCCCTTCCCCTGCCGCAGCCTCAGCCTGGCCACGGAGATGCGGCCAGCAGGGCTGGGCCCCGTGAGTTTTGCCTACCTGCCTTGCTTGTGCGCCTCGCCGTGGGCCTCCCGTCTCTGCCGCTGTGGCCGGCTGCATGGAAACAACAGCAAAAGGGAGAGCTGAGACAGGTGATCATGGCAGGCGGGTGAGGACATCGGGAGGGAAGCGCGGTGGGAAGCACCAGATCCCCACAGCGTTACCTTCTGTCACACGTGCAAAATGGCTCTTACCTGGTTTTTTACCTTTTTACCGAAGGCTGGTTGTGCAGTAGATGCAGCAAAGGGGGCGGAGGGCAGGGGTGCCAGAGGCTTGTGAAAGGAGGGAAGTGATGATTTTTGTAAGGTGGGATGCCACTGTTTTTGACTGCCTGGCAAAGAACCAGGCAGACAACTCGCCTCCCTCCTCCTGCAGCCACGGCCGGCGCCATCAGAGGCTCTGGAGAGAGGCCGCGCTGCACAGGCCACAGCGGGCTGCCCGGGGGGCTCTGCCAGCGGGGAGCACAGCCATTGCATCGACTCACCAGAGACAGTTGGGAATTTTCAGGAGAAGAAAATCTTTTCAAAGTATTCCAGGGCGGAAATAAATAAAGAGACTGTGGAAATATTTGTTTCTGGTTTCATACTGTCTCCCAGCTGGCTGTCAAGAATGCTCCTCTCAGGTGTTTGGAAAATATTTTATAGCATTAGAGGAAAGAATATTGCTTTTAGCAATGTAAGTGCTAGCTTGAGTAAAAGTAACATTTTAAACATTTAACAGTTCTAACTCATCTTTAATTAAAAGTTTAAAAAAATAGCTTCACTCTGTAATAAGCACTAACTTTAATCAGCTCTACTAATGAGATTTTTTTGCCCATTAACATACATTTCAAATCCTGCTCTAGAGATTTACACAGGTAAAATTCCTTCTGCAATAACAAGTGTCACTACCCGAGCACTGTCATCCCTTTGGTGAGTGGTGGCTGAACCCCAGGCCTTGCAGGATGTTTTCTTCCCTGGGCTGGGAACTCTGAAAACCCATAGCGTTGGAGGGAAATTAATCTTTCTGCTGCCACCAAGAAGCAGACAACCTCCGCATCACGCAGTCTAGGAACAGGCACACTGGGCTGTATCACTGACTCACCCTGAAGCGAAGCGTTTGCCGAGTGGGATTGATTTCTTTCCAGGATCTGCTCTGTGCTTCCCAGAGGAGGGCTGGGAATAAACCCACAGGCAGAACAGTGCTATGGGAAGCCTTGGGCCATGCAGCACCATTGCTAGTGCAAGGAGCAGCTAGCAGCTTCTTCGGCACTGCTTGGACCTGGGCGTTGCGCAGCAAAATGCATTTGCAAATGCAAAATGCACTTTTTGGAGTCTTCTGCCTTGTCGATATGCCCTTGAGCTGCTGCTAATGTGTCTCGCTGCTGCTCGATCCTCATCTACCAGCCATCAGGAAGTAATTTCACATGTTTTGGGGATAAGCAGATTCTGGTGACAAGCTGACCTACTTACATGACTTTAAAGTGCCCTAGTAAACTCTTGGCTGTTCAGGAATAATGCTGGTATTCAAACAGGCATGAAGCAGGACGTGTTCTTGCAATTTCTAATTTTCATGTCTCTGTGTAGAATTTATCTAATGCTTCATGTTGGCCTTGGCCCTATGCGGCCTGTTGAAAGAGCCTTCAAGGCATGGCCATCAAGGATTCATGGCTGAATCCTCCCCGTTCTCTGCACCCAGCAAACCCAAGTGGTTCCTCTTATTTCCTCCATGTGATTCTCCACTAAACTTTATTTCCTTATCATGGACCAGTGCAAAATGTCCCCCATGCTCCAGCCATGGCAGAGGACCTTGATCATTTGTGCTTTTTTTCTGCTTCTTCACTTCTTTTTGCCAGTCCCATTCCCCTTGTCACAGTTCCGAGGCTCCAAGCTTCCCCTGCTTTCCTGCCCGCTCCTGTGGCAGCCAAATATTTTTACCTGTTGCCAATCATTCCCCAGTTACTGCCATTTGAAGCCCCATTTCTTTCCACTCAATAAATAGCTTTTCTGGTCCAGTTCCTAGGGAGTTCTCTGTTGGCTGAGTGATCAATGGCAACTCCATCACGGGACCCCATTAGCCTGCCTGTTCGGGCTGTGAATCAATGGCCAGCCGCTGTGGCTTCCCTTCACACGTCTGCTGTCCCTGAGCATTTGCAGCAGACAGCCACACTCAGGAGATTCGGTCCAGATGTTGCTCACAGATTGTTCAGTGCAACAGTTTGCCATGGCAGCCACACAGTTTGATGGCATTGCTCCTGCCTCCGCTGGGGTGACAGACTCTTTAAAACTAACTGATAACTCCTGAGGCAAAATATACTGAATAATGAACAACCTTTTTTTTATTATTATTTTTCACAGTGTCAATATTTTCTCCTAACAGTTACAGTGCCAAAAGACATTTCATGGCTCATGAAGCTCATTGAGATGCTTTTTGAAAAAGCAACAACTGGAGCAGAGTGACGTTTATTCACAGTGTCCCTGTGCATTGCTAGTGTAGCTCTCGGGCCCCTGATGGCAGCTGGGGTGATGCAACCTCTCCAAACTCACCGTTGTTCCCCCAGATCCCCCGCACTGCTTCAAGTGATCATGAGATGCCTCTGCCCCAAAGGCTGAGGGTTGCTGGGGCGGGGGAATGAGGAGACTGAAAATTAGAATAGCTAGGCAAAAAAAATCAGCAAAACCAGATTTTCATCACTATCACTACAAAAAGCAGTTACTATTTTTTAAAAAGTCTGAGATTTACTATGGCACTTATAGTACCTCCAACACAGCAAAACCAGTTGCAGGGTTAGGGATAACCATGTCTGATTTTCAGAAGAGACAGTCCAACCATGACATCTGAAGGCCTCAGCAAGTGTTTCCAAATGCCTGGCTTTGCAGGATGCGTGCCAGAGGAGTGTCAGGTCCACACTTGCAGTGTGCACCAGAAAACCCACAGTATTCTTCATCTTTGAAATAAGAGCTTTTGGAAGCAACCACAACAAATGTGAGAGAAGTCACTACTCATCTTAGCATTTTAGTTTGTAATTACTTATGCAGCATATATTTCCCACCTGTAAATCATACTCTCTTTACTCTACAGGAGGCAATATACCTGTAGTATACAGTGACCTATTTTGCACTCTTATTAGGATAATCTCATTGGGATCTAAGAAAATTTCTTCCTTGAGGAGTTAAATCAAGATACACTTTCAGTTCTCCAGGAAAAAGCAAGATCCAATGTATTTTCCTCAAGAGAAAAGTGAAAGTACGTTGCTGAAGTAATGGAGCCAGATTCACACTGTCTTTCCTGGGTCCAGGGGGTGACATCCTTGAGGAACAGTGCTGGTGAGTCTGGCAGACTGGGCTAACACTAATGTTATTATGTGGGCCCCCTCCGGAATGGTACAGGAGACCTGGTTACCCAAGATACGGAGAAGGCTGAGGTACTCAAAAACTTTTTTGCCTCAGTCTTCACCAGCAAGTGCTCTAGCCACACTGCACAAGCCTCAGAAAGCAAAAGCAGGGACTGGGAGAACTGCCCACTGTAGGAGATGATCAGGTTCAAGAATATCTAAGGAATCTGAAGGTGCACAAGTCCTGATGAGATGCATCTGCAGGTCCTGAGGGAACTGGCGGATGAAGTTGCAAAGCCATTATCCATCATATTTGAGAAGTCACGGCAGTTTGGTGAAGTTCTCACTGACTGGAAAAAGGGGAAACATAACCCCCATTTTTAAAAAGGGAAAAAAGGAAGACCTGGGGAACTACAGACCAGTCAGTCTCGCATCTGTGCCCGGCAAGATCATGGAGCAGATCCTTCTGTGAACTATGCTCAGGCACATGGAATATAAAAAGGTGATTGGTGACAGCCAACATGGCTTCACTAAGGGCAAATCATGCCTGACAAATTTGGTCGCCTTCTACAATGGGGTTACAGCATTGGTGGATAAGGGAGGAGCAACTGATGTCATCTACCTGGACTCATGCAAAACATTTGACACTGTCCCACACAACATCCTTGTCTCTAAATGAGAGAGACCTGGATGTGATGGATGGACCACTTCGTAGATAAGGAATTGGCTGGATGGTCACACTCAAACAGTTGCGGTCAACAGCTCGATGTCCAAATGTAGATCAGTGACAAGTGGTGTTCCTCAGGGATCAGTATTGCGACCGGTACTGTTTAACATCTTTGTTGGCAACATGGACAGTGGGCTCTAGTGCACCCTCAGCAAGTTTGCCAACAACAAGCTGTGTGGTGTGGGTCACACGCCGGAGGGAAGGGATGCCATCCAGAAGGACCTTGACAGGCTTGAGAGGTGGGCCCATCTGAAACTCATGAAGTTCAACAAGGCCAAGTGCAAGGTCCTGCACATGGGTTGGGGCAATCCCAAGCACAACTACAGGCTGGGCAGGGAATGGATTGAAAGCAGCCCTGAGGAGAAGGATTTGGAAGTGCTGGTTGATGAAAAGCACAACATGAGCCAGCAGTGTGTGCACTTGCAGCCCAGGAAGCCAACTGTATCCTGGGCTGCATCAAAAGAAGCATGACCAGCAGATCGAGGGAGGTGATCCTGCCCCTCTACTCTGCTCTTGTGAGACCCCACCTGGAGTACTGCGTCCAGCTCTGGGGGCCCCAGTACAAGAGAGACATGGAGCTGTTGGAGCGAGTCCAGAGGAGGGCCGTAAAGCTTATCAACATTCTGGAGCACCTTTCCTATGAGGACAGGATGAGAGAAGAGAAGGCTCTGGGGAGACCTTATAGCAGCCTTCCAGTACCTGAAGGGGGCCTACAGGAAAGATGGGGAGGGACTATTTATCAGGAAGTATAGTGACAGGACAAGGGGTAATGGCTTTAAACTGAAAGAGGGTAGATTTAATTTAGATACAAGGAAAAAATTCTTTGCTGTGAGGGTGGTGAGACACTGGAACAAGTTTCCCAGAGAAGTTGTGGATGCCCCATCCCTGGAAGTGTTCAATGCCAGATTGG